TTTCATGATCCAATTATCGGATCTAAAGAAAATTAATATGGGACCACCCTTGAGATAGGTGGTATCCGATAAAAAAGAGTTATCGAAATCGGTTAACGTGGTGCAAAGTTATGCGGTAACGTACATAAAAAAAAAGAAATATTTCGACGATCCTCCTCCTTTTTGTGAAGTCGGTTAAAAATAACACAGGACTTGTGTGGTTTTCCTCTTAAAAAACTAATTAGCTATTTAGGTACGTATAGGTACTACGCTATTAAAAAGATAATAAAAAATTGCATCACGAAAATTTTTCAAGAAAATAACTTTTATAATTTTTCTTAGCTACCGCGCATTACTAGCGTTAACTTCGAAATTACATAAGTCCTTCTGATTAACTTAGTCTCATTATGAGTATTATTACTAATACTATTGGTTTGTAAGTACAAATTTTATTCTAAATTAATTAATTTTTGGCTTTTCATGCAAATTCCTAAAATTCTAACATCTAAGTACATGTTATCAATAAAAATAAATCTCGGAGGGCTGGAAGAGAACCAAAGATGTACTTTAATTTAACATCATACCTAGATATTTAAAAAAATAACATAATTATTAGAAAGGGGAAAAATTAGATTTCGCAGACCTGTGTAACCCAATAGAAAATAGGTAAATTTTCTACCATACTAAAAATTCAAACGCCACTAAGTTTGCGCGCAAAAGAAAATCTGTAGTGCGATTCACTACGCTATTTTAACAACTCTTTTTATTGTTAAAGCAATTAAACGACAATTTTATCAATATAGCTATTCATTAAACGTTTCCTTAACAACATTCGTTAGCGCAAAATCAGCTGTTGTCGGCAACGATAACAACGGCCGCTAATTTGACAACGTCTAGTTTGGTGTTGTTACAAAAAACATAAATAATTCGAAAGCGCTAAAATAAAAAATTAAGTGAAAAAATGTCATTTGAGTACCTCGCTTATAGTTTGTCGCGTAGTCAGCAGCAGTTTAACGCATTGAGGGTGGATCGGCGTATGTTGCGGAGTGCGGACAATCCGTTTGAATTGCCACCAACAGAGTTCCGGAAATTATACCGGCTAGGACCCAACTTGGCAGCCGATCTGGTTCAACGGTTGGAAGTGTATATAAAAGGCTCGAGAGTAACTGCCATATCCGCCGAAAAGCAGGTGAGGCACTAGATCTTTAAGCTTAGTGTACTTTTTATAACTTCTCTTGTATTTTCGAAGGTTCTGTCTACTTTGCGCTTTTATGCCACTGGGTGCTATCAACGCCCTGTAGGAGAGCGGTGGGGCATTTCGATGAGCCAGTCATCCATAAGCCGTTGTACTCATCGTGTGACAGAGGCAATTAACAACCACTTGTTTTTAACGGAAGTCAAGTTTCCTATGACACAAATGGAACGCCAAGCTGCCAAAGAAGTATTTTCCTCAGCAGCTGCGCCTTTTGTGGGGGGAACTATTGGGGCGATCGATTGTACCCATATTTCTATTTTGGCTCCGAAAAATAATGAGGAGGCGTACGTCAACCATCATGGATACCACTCATTAAATGTATGAATGGTAAGCAAATTGTTATGAAAAGAAGATTATTGCATAATTACCACTGCTACATATGTATATTCTACAATAGATATGCGACCCGAACTTGAAAATTTTAAACGTGAATGCGAAACATCTGGGAGCATGACATGACTCCTACATTTGGAGCTCCTCTGCAGTGCGGAGAGTGATGCAGCGTTCGTACGAGAATGGGAACCACAACTTGTTTTTAATAGGTAACGCTTAATAAATGTTAAAGTGTAACTCTAAAAAAATTTTTCCAGGTGATTCTGGATACCCCCTAGAGCCGTGGCTTATGACGCCGTTACCAAACCAACCGGAGGGGTCTCCTAAATTTCGCTATAATGAAGCGCTATGCAAGGCTAGGAATCCCATCGAAAGACTTTTCGGCGTCCTCAAAGGAACTTGGCGATGTCTTTCGCAACAAAGGGTTCTTTTGTACGATCCCGGGTTTGCTGCATAATATTCGTTTGGGAGAGCAGCAAACGAACGAACATTAAAACTTCTGCAACCGAAAGTGGGGCAGACAGACTTCTTGATAACTCTAATTCGTCATCTTCCGCTGCGAAACGAATCCAAGATAGATTAATAGCTATCTTTTTTTCTTAATTACTTCTAGTTACTTAATCATTTTTCTCCTTTAGACTGCGATCAAAATTTCAAATATATACCCAAATTATAGCCTGACCACATATTGACAAGTTTTAACGAACTATTTGTTTTTAATTTATATTACTTTTTTAAATGGTGTAATCCCTTCGTAAAAACTTCAAGTTTTTTATCAGCATAATATAAAAATAAAGTGTGCAGTTTTGTAGTCCATTAAATTTTAGTACAGTAAAGTGCAAGTTTGATGTTGCTGAAAAATCCCTTGATTTTTGATATTTTTTTCTGGTGGTGTTGTGAATTTTCTTCCATACAAAGTACGTTCTATAATTTTTTCGTATAGAAAAAAATGCACAACACCAAAAAATATCAAAAATCAAGTTATTTTTCAGCAACATCAAACTTGCACTTTACTGTACTAAAATTTAATGGACTACCAAACTGCACACTTTATTTTTATATTATGCTGATAAAAAACTTGAAGTTTTTACGAAGGTTTGTTGAGTTTTGCTTAAATATTCCATAAAATTTGAAACTTGAATTTATACTGTTTTAGTTACAGATTACACCATTTAAAAAAAGTAATATAAATTAAAAACAAAAAAACAAATAGTTTGTTAAAACTTGCCAATATGTGGTCCGATTATAATTTTCCAATAGGGCGTAAAACAAATATAGAAGACTGTAAGTTAAAAGGTGATAAGTCTATTTTTCTATTTTACAGGAAATGAATTTACCTTGAATTTAAAGGAATTGAATAATTAATGTTTTCAATGAAATGCGTATACATCGTTTATTAAAAATGTAAATATCATATAAGTATGTACAGTCACCCACAGAAGTATTCGTAATTTAGCTTTTTCACAATATTCCAAATGTTTTCCATCATAAATCTTTTTCGCTAATTTTCATTTAAAATATAGCTCATTCTATACGAAAAACCATATAAGTGATTCTTGCAAACCCTGTACAAAATTCATACAAATGAATCAAATTTAAAAAAATTTCATAAAAATTTCAAACTTTTTATTCAGAATTTTTAGAAAAATTTTCAGTAAGCAGTTTTGTAGCCCGTTAAATTTTAGTATGATAAAGTGCAAGTTTCAAGCAGCTAAAAATTACCGCTGATTTTTTAGAATTTTTTTTGTCGAGAGTGTTGCGCATTTGTTTCCATGGCATGAACAAAATCAATTTTTTGTACAAAGTTTGCAAGAATCATTTATATGGTTTTTTGTATGGAATGAGCTATATTTTAAATGAAAATTAGCGAAAAAGATTTATGATGGAAAACATTTGGAACATTGTGAAAAAAATAAATTACGAATACTTCTGTGAGTGACTGTATATAGGTACATATTTACATATTTCTTTATTCGAAATATTTCTTTTTTTTTATGTACGTTACCGCATAACTTTGCACCACGTTAACCGATTTCGATAACTCTTTTTTATCGGATACCACCTATCTCAAGGGTGGTCCCATATTAATTTTCTTTAGTGATAAGTCATGAAGAAATTAACGATAATCTTAAATTTTTATATGAGAATTGAAGTCGGTTTTGTTTTTGAAGTCGGTTTTGTTTGTCATGCAAATTATTGTTGCTTTTCCACAATAAATTTTCATTATAAAACGGCCTCGAGCTCAATAAAAATTGTTGAATATAATTGTTATAAGGCCAAATAATAACAAAAACAAAGAAAATTATTAAAAATCAATAAACACATAAGTGGAAAACATAATTTTGAAGTTTGCTGCTATTATTTCACTCGCAGATATAAATAAAAAGTTCACGAAAACCATTTAACATGAAAAATTTTGTTAATATTTTAAAAGAAATCACTGGATGCACATTTTGTACATTTGGATTTAATTTTAATTTGCATATATTTTCAAGACTGATTTTAATGCTAGTTTTATTATTATT